TATCGCGCATGGCACCCTTTTTCCATACCGGACGGCTGAAGCCTCTGGGCCAAGACCCAGCTGCGAACATCGGATTTCGACAACCGCTGCTCAACCCAAAGAACCTCCGACACTCCGACAGGAGATTCAGTTTTTACGGGTTTCTTTTTGCTTCAGGGGTCATTGAATAGGGCTTGGCACAGGAGTGATGGTGTTGGGTTTGGGAGGTTTTAGGGTTAAACAATCGTGGACTTAAAGGGTATTGGGTTTATTAGGGTTGAAGGGTCAAAGTGTTGAGGGTTTATTCGGGTTTAAGGGTTCAGGGTTCATTGGGGTTTACAAGAGTTCAGGGTTTACTAGGGTTTTGGGTTTAGGGTTTAGGGTCGCTTGGATGCCGTAGCTTGTTCATCCATGGAAGTGTCACGAAAGAGTGGATGTTCGGTTGTGGTCTCCGGTAATCAGATCATATTCTCGCAAGAACCCAAGACTAAGAAACATTGCCCCTAAGTGAGTGCGGAGGTCAAGGTGTTTAGGGTTTATTCGTGAAGTTCAAGGTCTGGGTGGGGGTTACCAGTTTAGGGTTTAGGGTATCGGGCGAGTTATGGGTTTAGGGTTTAGGGGTTTTGGGTCCAGGGTTTCGGGTTTAGGGGGGAATTAATTATGAGTTTAGGGTGTAGGGGTTTAGGGGTCTTTGGTTTAGGGTTTAGAGGGATGGTGGGTGCATATTGGATAGGATGTCAATGTCAGAAATAAATCTATGCCAGCTACGGTCGGTCAAGGTTTCAGTAGGAAGCATGCTTAGTTGCCCCGCCCACCCCCCTCCTACAACAGCACGAAAAACACGACTAAGCAACACCACAGTTGCGACTAGGCAGACAAAACACTACAACTAACCCAGGTGCCTTTCTTGATGCAAGGCTTGATTCCTTGCAATAAAGCCGCTTTGTTGGCGGTCACCTTGAGATGCTCCTCCTCCTCATCCTCGTCCTCCTCCTCACCCTCATCCGCACCAGCACCGGCACCATCACAATCACCCTCACCAGGAATCCGAACTATCTGATGTTTTTTTTGGTTTTCGGCGAGATTTGTGTTTTTGTTTTTGTGCTTTTTGCTTTCCTCTGCTTTTATGCTTTCCTCTGCTTTTCTGCTTATCTGCTTGTCCGCTTCCCTTGCTTCTCTGCTTTTCTGCTTCTCTTATCGTCTGCTTCGCTTTTCTCTTTTCTTAAGTTTGTGCTTGCAGCTCTTCCCTGCTTTCGCATTTTTTGTGTTGTTTTTTGTATTTTTGTGCTTTTGCTTTCCTCTGCTTTTGCTTTCCTCTTCTTTTCTGCTTCTCTGCTTTTCCGCTTCTCTTGCTTCTCTGCTTTTCTGTTTCTCTGATTGTCTGCTTTGCTTTCATCTTCTTAAGTTTTCGCTTGCTGAATTCCCTGCTTTGATTGCTTGTTGGTTTTTTCTTGTTGATTGTTTTCCTCTGCGTTTGCTTTCCTTTTGCTTTTCAGCTTTTGTGCTTCTCTGCTTCTCCGCTGCTCTGCTTTAACGTTTGGCTTTCGTACTATTGCTATTAGTTACTATTAAATGACTACTGCTATCACTAGAACAATACAAATATCTTCTCCAACACGCAAAAGGAAATCCCTTGCGAAATCATTCGAAGCCCTCTTCGACGGGGCCCCCTCGTTGCAAGGGGGGGGGGCTGCCCCCCCAACCCCCCCGCTCTCTTAAGCCGTGAAGAAATGAATGAACACGTCTTCTCCAACACACAGGAAGGAGAAAGCCAGACGAAAACGCTTCAGGGGATTAAGAGCGAAGAAAAGAGAATGATCACGAATGAAACGTCTTCACCGACAGACAAGAAGGCGAAAGCCAGATGTATTCACTGGGGAGTAAACAAGCAAGAAAACAAAGTAATTAAAGTGAAAGATAGTCTCCTTTGTAAAACGAATAAATGAGTAAAAGCGCCTTCTCCAACACACAAGATGGAGAAGCCACACGAAATTGCTTTAGGGAGTACAAGCGAAGAAAACAAAATCATGTTTTGGAAGGTTTGCACATGGGTGGGGCTGCCCCCCCCCAACCCCCCCTGCTGGTTGAAAACTGCAAACTTGGCTGCTTTCTCCCTCTCCCTTACCCCTCCGCTTCTCTGAACTGCAGACCCTGCTGCTTTCTTTAAGCTCTACTACAATAAGGGTAGTAGCAAAAGCAACAACAGCAACGAACAAACATTTACACAGCACCAAAAAGCAGCAGCACCAACAACAACGACAACGACAATATATAGTAACAATCACAACAACAAGAGTAAAAATAGTAATAATAAGAAAAACAAGGTAAGTGTTGCGTCTGCCGCCGCGCGGGGTGTGTCGTTTGTCTTTGGGAGGTTTGTTGGTCAAAAGTTAGAAAACCAAGAGTTTTGCGTGGCTTTCGTCAACAAGACGATGTATCGGACTTTAACTTTTTTTTAAAAGTTCTTTGTCTAGTTTTTTTGGTGAGGTTTTTGCAGAAGTGTCGCAAATACCATGTTTTTCGTCTTTGATTTATGTTGATTTTTAGGCTCATTTGTGAAGTTTTTGTCGGGAAGCTTCAAAAACTCGAGGTTTTTGCATGGTGGACGTTTCCAAGGTGAAGCAAGAAGAAACGGCAAGCACGAGTTGACAGAGCAACTGGTAGCCTTTGAGAAGTAACGCAACCAAAGAAACAGAAGACACAAGCCGCATTCGCATGGACGCCATCACCCCCCCCATCCCCCCCCACCCCCGCACAGAGCCGAAAGACAAATTGCAAGTTCAAGCTGGCATGTACACAAAGGCGAGAGTCGGCAAAAACACAGTAAAAACCGATGCGGAATGCGACACATAGGAAACAACAAGAGAAACAGAAAACACAAGCCGCATTCGCATGGACGTGATCACCCCCCCATCCCCCCCAAGCCCCGCACAGAGCTGAAAGACAAATGCAAGTCGAAGCCGGCATGTGCAGAAAGTCGAGAGTCGGCTAAAAGACTGCAAAAGCCGAAGCGAACTGCGACACACACACACACACACACACGCACACACTAAAGCAAAAGTAAATTTCAATGTCGGCGAAGAAAGTGCCAAAACTTGAGTTTCAGCACATGCCAGCAAAGGAATCGCACCACCCCGTGCGACGGCAGACGTAACAGAAATATTACCAAAACGAAAAACAAATAAGTAGTAGAATAATAATACACTAATACATAGCCATAACAAATAGTAAGGCCAACAACCACCACAAGAAGAATAATAACAATTACAAAAACAGTCAACAACAACAACAACAACAACCACAACCAAGGTAACGTCGGGATTTCTCAGGACAACAACCAAGGTAACGTAGGTTTTCGTTAAGAACACGTGGGAAGTGGCACGAAATCCGTCCAAAATGTAAGGAAAACTGTCGTTCCCTAGGAAAAACCAATGGCAATGTGCATTTTCTTGAGGAAAAATCCGGGGGGAATGGCGCCAAATCCGTCAAAAATGTGAGGGAATTAGTCTTTTGTGGGAAAATTCCAACCCCGTCACTCCCTCCCTCCCGCCCGTCGTCTCAGACCAAGCAAACGCACGAAAACAACAATTCCTTCAGAAAAAAATTCCTCAGATAATTTTGCATCCCCCTGACCATCACCATCCATCACCATCATTTTCACATAGTAACACGAGCTCCACCGAGCAGCCCGATGTTGATGGCCAGTCTTGCATGCAAGGCATGCTCGATCAGGCTTCACTGCCTTCAGCTGCAACGTCTTTCACACACCATCATTGCGAACCAATGCTGGCCATTGAAAAATGTGCTCAGATTCACTGTCATGGTACAACCATCATCGCGATTTTCTATGTCATGCTCTCCGAGCCATGCCCACCCGACCAGATTGGAAGCATACAAACAAATCATGGAGTCTGGCACAGACGCGCTTGTGTTTGTTGATCTTGACTATTCTCGACTTACACCTGGTCGCTCCGGGGCATCTTCCATCAGTCAATCCGGTCAAAGACAACGGTGGAAAGGCACTGCATCTGAATGCGTGTTCATCCTGCATTTGCCCCGTGTGGACGTACCCGCATAGTCCTGTGAGCTCAGCTGCCTTCGACAAGCGAAACTCTTCTGCGTTCGACCTTGGCAACTGGAAGCTTTGGTTTGCTTCGAATCGGCCAACAGCTTTTGGAGCAGGCTAGCATTCGAAAGACTGTCCATGTGGCAGCTGATGCAGACCGAGGCTCAACATGCACTGCCCATTACATAAGTAGCTTACAGCTCCGGAACCCACATCGCAGGAGTTTCATCATGCGTCGGTTTTGTTTGGCGAAGTGCTTCTTTCACTCTCAAGCTCGAGCGCTCTGCCAGATAAGGACGGCTACTACTTTGATGGAGTCCGCTATATCAGGCAAGAAGACTGTGGAGTCAGCCGGGTACCTCAGAAAGCTAGTATAGGAACTAGCGACTGCTCATCAGAATGCACGCAGCCTCCCCGAGTTTCTTTTCAGTTGCGCAAGGCATGGAACATCCCAGCTTCAGTGGTCGGCTGGGGCTCAGACTGAGGATGTCGATATGTCATGTCAGAAAGTTCTGTGCAATTCGCGCCTCTATTCACCGTCGACAAGGCTTGCCCGTGCCGCAGAAAAGCACAACACAGAGCAAGTGGCACGACGGCGGCTGATACAGCAGGTTCGGAGTGGGTTTAGCCTCTTGTCCGATGCTTGAATCGAAGGCTTGGGAGATCTTGGGAGATTAAGCGGAGGTCATGCAGAGGCCCCTTTTCGCTCGAGCCTGTCTGAGTGCCCGACCTGAGCCTGGGAGGGGCTACAAAAGCTAGCGCTCCTCGCTCGTCACAATTGGGACACATCCCGTCTGTGCATCCAAATTCGGGGCGGGGTTTGGCTCAGGATTCTAGGATTAACAGGGGATCACCTGCGGTTCGGTTGCCTGACTTGAGCCAAGGCTGCCTGCAGGTCGCAGCTGTTAAGTTTAGACGGTGCAAATGAAGCAAAAGGAAGATCTCCTATCGCGAAATGCTGGCACTTGTGTCCAGTTGGTTTGAAGCCTTGATGCCCGCAAAGTGCGTTGGGTTCAAGCTGGCCTCGTTTGTAACTGCAGCCATGGCGCTGGTTCCGCATGAGCCAGCAGGCTTTTCAAAGTCTACTTTGTATGATGGCCTGAAGCTAGTCATGGTTCCAGTCAACGAAGAGGAAGAGGAAGTGCAAATGGATCCGGAGAAGGGACCGTTGGTTCTGCAACTTGACGGCACCCTGACACATCTTCAGACCGTCCGTGGTATTGCAGGAGGTGGTCAGATTGGTGAGAAGCTCTGGCCACAGATGACCTCGACAGAGCAGACATGTGCACTTTACATCTGTGCGAAGAAAAATCGCTACATCAAGGAACGGCTGGAACACGAAAAGTAATAAAATCTTCGGACAAGGCATGGCCCGACAAGAGGGCCGGCTGAGCACAGCTGAGCTGCAAGGAGCCGGTTAGGATATTCCTTTAACGTTGCGGCTATGGCCTTTGCAATGCATTTGTAGGTTGCTGCTGCCGCTGCTGCCTTTGCTACACCTGCTGCGCCAAAGAGCAAGCATCGCAAGATGCCATGAAATGCCCTTCCGACTCGAACATTTACATCGCAGCAGCATTTCGCATGTGCTTTGCAACAAAAGGCTGCCGTGTCCACCTCAGTACAGTGTTCCGAATGCAAGCGGTGTCCCCTCTCGCAAGTTTGCCAGCGGGGTTCGTTTGGCTTCCAGGCAGCTTGCAGTTTACATGTTGGTTGCTGGCAAAATGCCATGGCCGCTGCAATCTATGACACAGTACACATAGGTGGTCTGCCTCCAGGCAGGGCATGTGAGAGACCCGATAGGATAGACCTCTGTGGAGAAGTTTCATCTAGAAAAGGGTAGTTGTCCCGATCGAACCCTTGCGTTTCATATCTGAATGCACGGCATGTTGCATGGGGCTAAGTGCCGGCAGTGTTACAGCTGACTGTGGAGGCACTTCGGACGCCGTCATCAGGCAGATCTTCGGCCAGTATGCGCCCATTTACACCACAAATGTACTGGAGTCGGCTCCTGGCCAGGCAGCTGTTTCGATGTCTTCCTAAAAGCTCCGAACAGTCATCTGTCCAACGTTTTGGCGTGAGGCAGTGGAGGCTTTGGTTGGTGTCGCGAAAGAAGCATCTGCTTGGCTCGTCCAGAACTTGAACGGTAACATACCACAAGGCATGACCACGCCAGTGACCATTCAGATGATGCCTCCTGAATCACAGCGCCTTGCTTTAGCAACTTTAGTTGATATCGGCACAGGCCTGGAGTCGCCGGTATTCCCAAGCGCAATCTTGCCAAGCCTTAGCCGCCTTAGCCTTGTTGCTGCTTAAGGCAAGACAAGAAAGAGCCTGCACGAGACCAGGCAAGCGATCAACCTGCGCTTTGTGGCATTATGTGCAGACTTTATCCTGCGAAGTTTCTGGTCAGTCTCGCGCACACATTCTTGCATGCATGGCTTTGTCAGGGGTACCAAGTGGTGCCGTTCAATCCGGGTCAAATGCAAGTTGCAACTCGGTGGCAGCTTCACTTCTGAGAGAGCCACCACACATCGCCCGTGAACCAAGGCCAGCACGCCACAGTACTTGCAAGTGGAGGGAATACCAGAAGGTTGCTCCGAAGACCAGGTGAAGCAAATCTTTGGGCAATATGCGCCCTGCTTGAAAGCAGAAATGAGCGCATAATCAGAAACTCCAAGAAGCGAAGGTATCACAGTGCTTTTGCTTCTCCAGGGCTATCTGAGGCGACGATTGTCTCTGTCAAGTCTCTGCCTGCTGGCAAAGGAGCCGCTTGCAGGTCAACGAGTGCCAAGCATTGGCAAGCATGTCTCTCTTTACTTGTTGCCTCTGTGAGTTGGATGAGTGCTCAGGCTGCTACGCAATGGCTGCTTCAATTCAGCACTGCAGAGGAAACCAAGTACATCCATGAGACTCTGGGCGGAAACATTCCGCAAGGTCTTCAGAACCCTGTTGCCATAAGACCTGCAGGATCAGGTCAAGAAGCCATGGAGGATCAGCGTTCTGTGCAGATGCTGCCAGGGAAGGGGAAGGGCAAGACAGACTTCCCGCCTCATGTGACATTGTATGTGACTGGCCTGCCTCTGGGCTCTAATGAGGACAGCCTTCGTGAATTCTTCGTTCAGTATGGGGACGTATACAGCAGCAAGGTGCTTCCTGTGTCTGGTGGAAAGTCTACCATGGCAGGTTTTGTTCGCATGCCTGAGTTTGAGGGTGGATGGTGTGTGGAGAACTTGAATAACTTCCAGCCTGAAGGCTACAGCATGCCGCTCCAGGTGACGTTTCCGAAAGATTCCCCTGACAAGGGCATGGGCAAGGGTGGCATGGCCAACAAGGGCGATCATGAGGCCTACGCGATGTCCAACGGAGGCTCTGCCTTTGGAAAGGGTGACTATACCGACTTCAAGGGTGACAGCAGCAAATCTTGGAATGAGAAAGGCGCTTGGGGCAACGGCCACGACGCGAACGAGGTGAAGAGTGTTTTCAGTGGGGGCAAAGGCTCTTGGTCCTGGGACAAAGGATCCGGCAAAGGTGCAGCGCAGGGAAAGGACAGTAAGGGTTGGGGCAAAGAAAAGGGTTCAGACAAAGGGAACTGGGGATGGGACAGTGGTTGGGGAAAGGGATGTGGCAAGGCCACAAAAGGCAAGGGCAAGAAGCCAGGACCTTATTAGGGAGCTGATTGCGGCATTCGGCCTACGTGTACGGATGATAAATGTCTTCGACGGATACTTACTTAACTTCCTTGGCATGTCTTAGGCCGCAATCTCTTCATGACCTCGAGTTTCACATCGGACGTGGAGATAGTCAGGAGTTCGGCCAAAAGGGCGTTGTGAGCAATGATTTGTGTTCTGCTTGTGTTTGTCGTACTGCTCGCGCCAATCCGTCAGGGCTGCTGGAGCTCTAGCCAAAACCGATGTCATTCATTGGGGAACGGGCCAACAGTTGTAGGAGGCCAGTCATTAGTCGTGCCAGCGGAACGCAGCAGACAAGATCTCAGGCAACTGTTGCTTTTCCCGCAAGCTTCTTCAAACCAAACAACACTGCCCAGAGCCGAAGGCCTAGGACCTGGTAGCAGTCTGTCCTCTAACGTTCAGCGTTGTTGCGACGAGAACATAAGATATTTGCAACTGACCGTAGGCTCGCTCGGTCTATGATTTTGATCGTTAGCAGAACAGCTCAAACACATGTGCGACAGTGACGCCAGAACTCTTTGACCGGACCGGATGTCTCATGAAGATGCCATTCCAATCGGTGAAGGCCAGTGGCTGAAGACTTGGTGCCAGGATATTTTCGCAGTTTCAACGTCTTGATGGTCTGAGCAAGGTTGGACGCGGCACAGTGCAGACATGTTGCTGCACCCTCCATCACAGGCACCAAGCACCGAGCAAGTCTTTCTGGTGTTGGAGGCCTACGTTTGTACTGCCCAAGGTGTACTTTGCCCAGCGTGGAGAACAGCGGGGCAAGCTGCCTTCTCAGTTTCCGGTACCACTTGTTGCATCGCTGTTTCTGATCTTCCAAGATACTTGCTGAAGTCGGAAGACGCCTGGACTGTTCAAGCCCCGGTGTCTGTTGGGAGTGGGGCAATTTTGTGGAGTTGTGCAATCTCAGAGCATCTCACACCGTGTTCTTGAATCGTTTTGACTCCACCGGACTTCATGCTCTCTGCTCTTCTCGCCGTTAGCCGCTACATTTTAGGGTGACATACGCAGGCGCTGTCTGGCCGTCAGCTAAAGATCTGCAAGTGCAACCATGGTAGGTGTTAGGCTTGGTGTCAAGCATTGTTACATTGTTCTGTGCGAAGACCATCTACACTTTTGGAACTCTCGCTTTCGATCGCATGGGTCGCGTGGTGAACTCTTACAAGCCTTACGGCCATTTCCACCGTTGCGCTCTTTCAATGTTTTTCATGTTAGGGTGACGACCCTTAAGTGCACGAAGTGCAGGCTGCACCGGCACCAAGGTGTGCCCAGCGCCACATGTTGGAACCGACTGCCCAATGGAGGCTGCGGACGAGTCAGCCAGAGGTTAGCGTGAAGGTGGTGAAGCGCCAGGTTCGAGCAGCTGCTGCGTCAGTGCTTCGACCCAATCCTGAAGGCTCAGCTTGCCGCCGATCCATTCTGCCTGCACATGGGTGTGCACTTGCCAGGTTCGGCATCCGACAGGAAACTTGACCGATCGGTGGTCCTGGCGGACATGGTGCGGGACGGTCTTCACTTCTGTGCTTGTCTTGGCTTGTTGACGGCTTGCTGCTCTGTCAGCCGAAGACGGCCCGCCTTGCACTGAAGTTCCCACTCGGTGAGCATCTGAGCGCATGTTGCTTGTTGCTGGACTTGTCGACAAGGCGACTGACGACTTTCCTGCACCCTTGCAGGCTTTTTGGACACGCCAGCTTGCTGCTACGCTCTCTTCACGGGCCTTCGTGGAAGTGCGGCTGCAGCGCAGTGGAGAATGCCTCAATCATACTGAAGATGCCATACTTGGATTTGCAGCACTTGGAGCTTCCACTTGGCGCTCGTAGCGGCTCGAGGTGTGCGACGCAGTTTCATCAGCGGCTGCTCAAGGAGGTTTCGGCTTTCAACCTTGCTGGACGGTCGATGCAACGTGCAGTCTCTTGCAGAGTCTTGCAGAGTCTTGCAGGTTGCGAAGAAGATCCACGGCTGGTGGGACTCTGAGGCCAGACTTGTCTAGTGCTACGAGCTACATAGAAGCTTGGAGGCATAGTGTGGACTCGCATCCTAGTACCCGGTCAGGCAGAGATGCCGGAGGAAAGTTCGGCATGTGATAAGAATCTGCTGGATTCTGACTTGTTTACCTATTGCTGAAGCATCAAGGAGCTTCTGTACCGTGGTTCGCATGCCGATGTCTGAGTCTTTTCATCACGTGCTTGCTCCCTTGCTACAGAGCTTTCCGCAGGTAGGCTCTTTGGCCAAGTGTCTCCGACACGTTCTGGAGGAGCACCGGGCCTGGTGCTCACGTGTGTACCCTCGCGACTCTGTTCAGGCTTTGGATCATGACTTGCTTCATGGTCCTCTTGGCTTTGCGGGCTGCGACGGCGAGCGAAGCCCGGACATGTTTCTTTTGATCTTCACCGAACGGCTGGTGCTGAAGGTCGTCGCTGTCCTGATTGGGGAAAACCTCGTCACAGCAGCGGTGGGTGAGGCCTTGCGAAACGCACCGACTTGGTCCAACCCTTCATGAGCAGAAGATCTCGTTTCCAAGGCATCTACCACTCTCCTTTTCGATGATGCAGATGCCGCGCCTCTGATTCCTCTACTAGGCCATTCGATTCGCATCTCGACCTGAGCCCGGAAGATCGTGAGGGCACATTTTGGCAGAGTAGATGGTGCAGGT